TGTGTATGCAGCTCTAGTGCAGGACGAAAGGCTTGTTTGTTTGATCCGGGGAAATGGACAGGGGTTGAGTGAGCTAGATCTGCCGCCTAAAGCGGCAAACAGGGGAGCTCTCGGGGTAATATTAGAGCCAACCGGATGGAATACTTGGTAGTCGAAAATTTCAAGGCGGGCTTTTCGATGATCGTTGCTTGTTTGAAGACGGCATTGTGTAGCTGGGATAATTCCTCGTAAGCTTTCCTCGGATTCAACCGACGGAGTGGCGGACCGCTTGTGTCACGGAAGGACTTCTTACATCGCGGACCGCCCTTGACACGCCTCGTCACGGCGCATTAGCCGACTCGCTGTTGAGAAAGCCACGGTAGTACGAAGCAGTCGTGACCAGAAGATCCTTTCCTTCTACATGCCAGCTTCAATCCGAGGATCAGGGTCATTCAGCCCCAGGTCTATAGAGAGTACAGTCAAGTGATCAAGGCTTGCCGCATAAGTGTTCGTAGGCGATGAAGTAGTTGAGACGGACACGGAAAGGACAATTGTCGAAGACGTGGGTGTCTTGCGTGGATTTAGCGATCGATGACCTGATATCTACCGTATTCAGTTCCAAAGCTGTGACCCTCAATTCAACAGCGCATCCAAGCCCTCGATAAACGCAGGTAGCACACTGTCGAGCTCCGTATAGTTCGAGCTACCTGTCAGCCAGATGCCGCGGCCTACGGCTAGTAATTGCAATAGCGTACTAGCCGTCTCAAGAATCGACAGGTCCGGTGTGGAGTGCACAAGCAGCGCAAGCTTTTCGCGATCATATGAACCCGTCGCCTTGAAGAGCTCGCCACTTTCGGTCGTCCAATTGGAAAATGAGTTCTCGAAAACAACGGTCAAGTCCGGCCCAGTGAACAATGCCTCATCAAAGTAACGAGGCTCTGGAAGAGCGCCAGGGTTGTGAACTATAGTGCAGTGTCAGCCTTACGCTCATGTAACTGCCGGAGTTGGAAAATGGGGGTTCTTTTCGCCTGCAATAGAAAGAGACCCCTTTGAGAACGCATGGTAAAGTGTACAGCAACACGACAGGGGCCTCGAAAGCCGGCTTCGGTGACGGTCTTACGTTCAATACAGAAGGCGGGCTGAGCTTACCAATATAGTTTTCCTTTAGTCCGGTGCTGTCTTGAACAGCTTGAGCGATGCTATCGAGATACACGGCATAGTCTGTAGAGTATTGGGTAGGCGTCTCATCCACGAAGACACCGCTCAGAGCCAGTGGGGAATCATATTCGCCCCAGAATGAAAACGCGGCAATGTCATCCAGCACAGAACTCAAGTCCCTGGTACACCACGTGGTTGCCACATAGCCGATAGTGCGTACATTACTGAGCGAGTTGAGGGCCTCGATGGCTGCGGTGTATTCTGCGTTTGGTAGTGCACCCTCTCCAGGCCCGTTATGCACATTTACCACGACCGTAAAGTGTATGCGAGAGAACGATGATGCCCTGAAAGCAGTACATGGCGTTAGTCCCGGTATAATGAGTAGCAACAATAGTAGAGGTACCGTATCGTACACATCGTGAAACGGATCCCACGCGCCTGCTGAGGGGTAGACGTAGAGCGGAACAATTACGGAGCTGAGTCCGTCCATGACTCTGCTTTGAGCACGGTAGGCTAGGAGCCGATGACGAGACGCTGGCCCAAACGGAGATGAGCCGATAGAGAGTAAGATCTGGAGAAACACAGCTTACGGATACTGACGAACGCAAATGTGTAATGGATATCCTTATGGTGTGTTCGGGCACCAAGACGCTGACAGATGCCGGGAGATCGAGTAGTCGAACGAAGCCTCGCAGTATGCCCACGTTGAATCTCTGACGGCCCAGATGATGGTATTTTGAGAAATTAGAGGACGCGGCAATGCAACCACACGGGTACGTATTGCGCACTTGGCTATGCAGATTGGACAGGGATCGTTAGCGATGCGAGAGTATATTTTGAGAGTGCTAGACCTGAGGAGACTCCGAAACTGATGAGTCGGGATGAAGAGGCCGCAGGATGCCAAGCAATGTAAACAATATTGACGGCGCAGGAAAAGTCTGACTTCGATGTCTTCTGCCTAATTGATCGCGATTTGAGGCTGTTGTTGAGAGTTGTGGCGCGTATAAAGAATTTCGGACGTATCGAGAAAGGTAGCGCCGTAACAAGCAACGCACTCGCTCTTCTTCCATACATTCGTTCATTCGCCAAGCATAATTGTGCAAGATGTCGTCATCCTCTTCGACGTACTCGCTATCGCCCTCCGTCACACCGGAAGTACTCAATACACCGGGAACACAGCGGTCGGTGCTATTCGACGACGATGTAGTAGCCGATCCTCTGAACATCGATGGATCCACGTCTACCTTCATCATGGTCGTCGGTGGGCTGGGATACATCGGCTCGCACACAGTATTGGAGTTGCTCAAAGAAGGCTACAACGTGCTGGTCATCGACGACTTGAGTAACTCGTACGAAACCGTCCTGGGCAGGGTGCGAGGTCTTGCGATTGACTTCTGCACGGCGCATGGCCGACGGATGCCAGCGTTGCACTTCCGTCAGCTGGATTACAGGAGCGCGCACATGAAGACTGTACTGGCCAGCTATTCATCGTATTCGATCATCAGCAAACCAGCGCCCACTCCAGCACGATTCCCATACTCGACTTTGCAGAGAACAGACTCCGGTATCGACATGGACATGGACGACGCGCAAGAACCCGTCGTTGAAAGACTATCCAGAATATCGGGCGTCATCCATTTCGCGGCGTACAAGTCAGTTGAAGAGAGCATCCGGATGCCCTTGAGATACTACAGCAACAACGTCTGCGGGCTGGTCGACTTTCTGGGGTTGCTAGAGGAGTTTGGCATCAAGAACTTCGTGTTCTCCTCTTCTGCAACAGTTTATGGCGAAGGCGCTAATTGTGGGCTACCTCTGCGCGAAGAACTGTGTGTGCATCACCCAGAATCTTTCTTGGACAGCGACGGAGCAGAACGCCGAGTTTTGCCGGGCGTTCTGGGCCTCACATCACCGTATGGTCGGTCCAAGTTCATGTGCGAGTCCATTCTGGCAGACCTTGCGCTTTCCGACCCCACATGGTCCATAACCGCCCTACGGTACTTCAACCCGGTAAGTACATTCGATGATCAGGGTACGTATGAGACGTGTCTAACAACTCCAGGTTGGTTGCCACGAGTCTGGTATTCTGGGTGAAGATCCTCGACAGAAACCGAGCAATCTGATTCCAGTTATCGCAACAGTCCTGACAGGGACAAAGCCAGTGCTGGACATCTTCGGCACAGATTGGAACACCCCAGACGGCACGGCAGTGCGGGACTTCATCCACGTCGTCGATCTGGCTCGGGGCCATATTGCGGCTTTGGCAGCTTCGACGGCCGGTCGTACTTTAGCACCATTTCGCACGTACAACCTTGGTAAGTGGAGGCCTTATATGAGAACGTCTCACACTAAGGTCTGTGTACTGACTTCGACTCAGGTACGGGACGAGGACATACTGTCCGTGAGGTACTCCAGAGTTTAGAGGACGCATCACAACGGAAGATTCCCGTCAGGGAAGTCGGCCGCAGGGCTGGAGATGTTGGCTTCTGCGTGGCGGAGGTGCGACGAGCAGAGACCGAGCTGCAGTGGAGGGCTGAGAGGTCTTTGAATGACTGTTCCGGTGACGTATGGAACTTCACTAAAGCTAGGTGTGTAGAGTCGTAGACAAAGGGCGTGCTGAGTGGCCCTGCACGGTTTCCTTCATCATCCTTTCCCTGCATATCCTAGCATCAGCGGCATTTCTTCTCTTGTGAGCAGCAAGATAGATCATGGATGGTTAGCTCGCAGTGCTCGAGCATTTCGTGGACTGAAATTTAATACCCAATTTCCCATGAATTCTCACTGAACGACCAGTGCAAGCTTGATCATTGCCCTCTTTCATTGTCGCGTAAAGTAGCTGCATGGCTGATAGTTTCCAGGACGTCGTAGCCAGATCACGGAAATGAGCGAGACCTAGTAATGAGCGAAACCTAGTGGAGAGTCGACGAGGCTTGGAGGCAACGCGCAGGTACGCCTCCTTTCATATGCGTTCAGCGCCTAGACAGCCCGATTTTGGCCAATCGAGACGAACGCTGGATTGCTTTTTGGCGTCGTGTGGGTGGGTTCATCGCTGGTATCAGATAAGGCTGTGGCAGCATAGATGGCCAAGGCCAGGTTGCATCGAGCCGAAATCTTAGAGGCACACTGTGCTGCTACGTCGCAGACGCGGTACCATTTCCGTGACTAAGACAGTCCAATGGAACGTGTAAGAGCATGTGGCGAGGCGACTACTTCAGCTGGCTCGCTACACTCAACCCTTTCCGCCGAACGTGCGCAGAACCACTAACCCCACGATAAAATGGCAAAAGCGAATGGCGGAATCCAGGCTAGCGATACGGCGGTGACGGGAATGCGCGCAAACGGCCCAGTAATGGACGACGGCAGTGCCGTGGAGACAGCTCGTTAGTTCCGATTCGCCCACTGTGCGTTTCAGTCCCGGCCGGCTTGCGTTGAAGCGGTACAAGCGAAGTACAGGCGACGGCAGGATCCAACGGTGCGTCAAAGGGCAACGGGGCAGGCCGGCCAGGTCGACGGTACGATGGAGTTGCACAGAAGATGCTGTCCTGAGCTGAATGGGGCGACGATCACATAGGGGCCGACAACAAAGAGGCTGAGGCTCTCCTTGCGTCCTGCGGTTGGCGTCTTGAGTTGGGCGGAGACGGCCGATTGGGTGCAAGATGGAAGGAGGCTTCGGAAGCTTTTGGCGATTTCAGCGCTAGGCCGAGTAGACGGGCGTCACGTGCCGGGTCAACAGTACTAGCAGCCCGCACCCGTTGCAACCTCAACGTCTCTACCTACGCACAGTCGCAAAGCCCACGCCGACCTGGATACCGTGGATTCTGTATCGCCTGCGCGTAGACCGTTCTGTTGCGATGCCTCCCTCTGCCATGGCGATGCCGGGGCAACACATGAACGGCGCTCCTTCGAACATCTCGGCTGGCGTAGATCCCACTTACTGGGGCGGCCACCAGGACTTCTCACCGGACTCCACATCGCCATTGTCGCCCTCGCTAGGGCTTCATTTGTCGCCGACACAGAGTATCACCACCCAGAGCAGCATCAATGGCGGGACTCCCCCGGCGCAAACGCCCCAGTCGGACAGCGGCGGCAGCAAAGGAACCGGCCAGAAGAACAGCCAGAAGCAGTCAAATAACGACCAGACCAGAGCCTCGGTCGCTGTCGCGTGCGTCCCATGTCGCAGTAGACACTTGAAATGCGACGGTGGTGTGCGATGTTCCCGATGTAGGACCGACAACGTGGAATGTACCTACATCAAGTCGCGAAGAGGCTGGAAGGGCAAGCGGAAAACCAAGGACGACACGGGCGCGTCCACGACCCCGAATGGTGGGTATATCGCAACGACGACAATACCAACCCAAAATCTAACGTGATTAGGAATATCTGCATCTGAAGTCCAAGCCAGCAATGGCCACATCTCGTCACCTGAGTACTCGTACAACGGCGATGCTGGCATGAACCAGCTCAGCCCAACTCACGGTCTTGGCGTCCGACCTGTAGCCCCACCAGTTGCTCAACTCAACCTAAATGGATCCGCGCGTCTGAACCGATTTGGTCACTTGGGACCCGAGACGGCTGTGCAGGCATTCTACCACTTCTTCTACAACTCACATCCATTCTGCCTTCCGGAACGGAGGTTAGTGGAACTCTTCAAGGAACGACATGCCCCACTCTTGGAACATGCCGTACATTTCATCGGATCCAGCTACATACCGTCGGTGCCTACGGCCATGTACAAGGAAGCGTTAGATCGCCAGATAGACAGCAACAACTACCCAAGAGATGCGTGGTCGGTCCAAGCCCTGCTCCTCTTCGCCATCGGCCTCCACGCCCACAACGAGGTCCCCCGCGCCGCCCAGATCTTCACCATAGCCCAAAACCTGACGCTGGAAATCGGGCTCAACCGTATGGAATTTGCGCTGATGCACGGAGAAAACGACGCCCAGTTAGAAGAAAGTTGGCGGAGAACGTGGTGGTCCATGTTCACAGCCAACGGCATGATGACCGCCGTTAACCCCGGCGTGCAATTCCGACTGAAAGATGTCGTAACCGACGTACCACTGCCATGTGAGAACGTCGAGTACTTTTCAGGTGTAAGTACCCACTCCCCTGACATCAGATCTGACATGTGTCAAATCGGCTTGGCATGTTTCCCTTCTTAGTGCGAACCCGTGCCGCTCTTAGGTACTCGAGATGAGATCATCTGACTGCATGTCATACTCCGATAGCAGATCGATGCATGTCATACATGTGGGGTGGGGGTAGCCATCCTCCTGGGACTACACACATGAAACCTTATACAGATCACTAAACTAACAACCCACAAACAGCAAATACCCTACCCCTCCACCCTCTCCGACTACGACGACTCCGCCTTCCTCCCCCACTTCACAACCTTCTCCTCCTTCACCTACCTCATCGACGCCATCCGCATCCTAGGAAAAGTCTTCGAATGCGCGCGTCTAGACTCCACCTTCGAATACCACGCCGTCGACGTCGTAGACCAATACCTGTGTAACTGGCGCCTACACCTCCCCGCCTCAAAAACAGACATCGTCTCCAACGACGGCCACATCGACGAAGTGCTCTTCCAGGCCCACATGGTAAACGCCGGCAGCACAATAATGCTGCACCGCCCGCGCAGCAACCTCGGTTTCGGCCGCGTCGAAGGCGTAAACATATGCGTGCAACCCGGGCAGGTCCTCCTCCCCACGCAAACCCGCGAAATCCACACCGCGAAATGCCTCACCTCTGCCGAAAACATCTCCTCCTTAATCCGTCTGCCCGGACCCCTGCTTTACCACACCCCCTTCTTCACCTGCGTCGTCGTAATGGCGTCTGTCGTGCACCTCTCCTACTGGTCCTTCCTCGTCCCCGACGGCCAGGACGACATTATCAAGCAGAGCATCCGGCTCGATGTTGGCACGCTGCAGCAATACAGCAATACGTGGCCGATTGCGAATGTGGTGCTGGGACAGGTAAGGGGTGTGGCGCACACGCTGTTCAATAGTAAGAAGGCGATGAGTATACATCTTTGGAGCAATTTGCAGCAGGACGATGTTATTAGGGGCGTTATTGAGGAGGGGAGGAGTGTGCCGCAGCAGCAGTATGCGCAGTTGATCGCTCCGTGAGTTTCTCTCTTTCTTTCTCTTCTTACTCGCTGTGTTTGGACTTGGGCTAACATTATCGCAGGATGCTGAAATCGTAGACGTGCCTTGTCGTCTTTTCGCTTTCGTTTTTGTCTCGCATCGTCCTTGTTTACTTGCGCGTCGTAATCATTCTCATGTCTCCGCTGTCTCCGTCGCGCGCGTCAAAAACGGTCGTTTCCCGACTACAGCGAGCGAGCGAGCGAGCCTTCTACTTGTCAATTTTTCGGTCGTCGCTTTGATCCGCTATTATGCGACTCTGCTTGTCCGTATTATGAGCATACTGACATCACGCGTCATTTCTTCTATCGTGTCCGGGCGGTGGGCGGCGCATTCCATTGAAAAGTCCGAGCAAGCGGAGTTGGAATATAATGAAGATACGAAATGTGCTGTTGTAGTAGTAGTCGCAACGCCCTTGTGCGTGTTAATAGTAGAATCGAAAAGCTTTCTCCATCACATTCTGAATATTCTGCTTGATCAGGAACAGTCTATTGTTCATTCGTCGAAACGCCGGCTAGTCCAGCGCTTCCAGTCGGATACTTCCGCCAGTCCTCCTCCGCATGCCCCGTTTTCGCCAAGAATGTCCTCAATTCTCGAGCTGCATATCCATTGTCCCATTCCACTAAATCTCGTCCATGTCGTATACCCATTAGAGCCCTAGCCGTGGCCTAGAGCAAGCTCATGACCGTATCTACAAATCGGCGTCGTCCTCATCGGGCAGAGGCATCTGGGCGGCGTTCTCCATCTCCTGTCGGTACTGGTCGAGAACGGCCTGGTCGACCTGGACCTCGGGAGGCGCCAGAGCGGGGGCGGCGACAAAGTCGAGAGACTGGTTGCCGACGAGTTTCCGGGCGAGCCAGAGGAAGGGCTTCTCGAAGTTGTAGTTGGACTTGGCGGAGATGTCGTAGTACTGGAGGTTCTTCTTTCGGTGGAAGGTGATGGACTTTGCCTTGACCTTGCGCTCCTTGACGTCGACCTTGTTGCCGGTAAGGACGATGGGGATGTTCTCGCAGACACGGACCAAGTCACCTGGGGCTGTTAGCGAGTGTGGATCGGGGGGTTGTGGGCGCACGTACGGTGCCAGTTGGGGACGTTCTTGTATGTGATGCGCGAGGTGACGTCGAACATAATGATACCGCACTGTCCGTTGATGTAGTATCCATCGCGGAGACCACCGAACTTCTCCTGGCCGGCGGTGTCCCAGACGTCGAACTGGATCTGGCCGAGGTTCTGTCGTCTCGTTAGCAGGCGTGTCGCTGGCGGCAGAGGGGCGGATAACGTACTGTGGTGAAGCCGAGGGGGTGGACCTCTACTCCGAGCGTCGCGATGTACTTCTTCTCGAACTCTCCGGTCAAATGGCGCTTGACGAAGGTCGTCTGTGGTGGGGCTGTTAGCAACCTGCATCGCAGTCTCAAATTCTCGCAGTCTCGCAGTCGCGCGGCCGTCTCAATAGCCGGGCTGCTATCGCGAAAAGCGTCGTAAGGGGCGTCATACCTTTCCGGTACCACCGTCACCGACAAGCACGAGCTTGAAGGTAGGGACTGAGCTTGCGGCAGTCTCGGCCATGGTGTCGGGTGTTGTGGCGGGGTGATGTGGTGTGTGAGGGGGGTAGTGGGCAGAGTCTGTGGGAGAAAGAGGTCAGTCGGGGTCGCACAGGGTTATTGAGCAAAAGACGGTGGTGCAGACTCACGGGTGATAAGAGTGGGGAAAGTAGCGGGCGTGAGGTGGGCAAGAAGAGGTTTTGTTGTGCTGAAGTGTTGGCGCCCCGGGCGGTGTAAATCTCTTGGCGCCTTCCGCAATTTTGACCTCACAGGCAGGCAGGCAGGCAGAGGCAGAGGCAGAGGCAGAGGCAGCGTTAGGCAGCTATAGGCTTCTTTGTCTCAACAGCCCGGGTTTACCTTGCGCCTTTGTAGTCATAGATTGTGATTTACTAGCAATTCCTTACTGTTTCATCCCAAAGCAAACAACGCCGGGTATCATGCTATGCTTGTTGGCCAAACCGAGTGCGCCACGCGCGCTGCCGCCAGCCTTGCCTGCCACCCATCCAGCTCGACGTATCTCCCAGCTCGACGTATCTCGTGATTTATAATACACTACATGGGCAGCAAGTGACAGCCCAACAGCCCCCTTCCGCCCCAGTTCCTCCGCGGTGTGAGTTGCATCTCAACTGTCTCTGCCGGGCCGCCCGATGGGTTGGGTCGCAGCGCCTTGACGGTAATGGGAATCTGCACTTGTCAGCCTGCTGCACGCCCGACTGAAGACAGCATCCTGTGCAGCGTGATGCGACGTACCCCTTCGTTCTGCGACACGGCCTCGGCCACGCGCGACAGGTTCTCGTGGTTTGTCCAGTCCACCCAGCCGAACTTGGTTATGGTGTCGTACACCTGTAAGCCCGCCGTCGCTGCTGGGCTGTCTGCGACCACGCTGTTGACCTTTGCAAAGGGCGCTTCGAGTGCGGCAGGCGGTGCGCTCAGCCCTGCCTGGGCGCCGTTGGCCGTCGTCGCGTCGCCCGCCTGCGCTGCCAGCCGCGCGTGGTGCTCGTGGAGGCCCTTTTCGATGCGCGACATGAGGTCCTTGTAGTCATTCTTCAGCCGTATGATGCGCGCGCGCGTGGTTCGGACTGCGACAGTCAGCGACCCTGAGTGAGCTCGAAGATCACCGCTCCTTACTCTGGGGGACATCGATATCACTGCGTGGAAAGCCGTCCAGGGTGGTCAGGCCGGTGCTCATGCGGACGCCATGCTACAACAAGACGTCAACTGCTTATCCCGCCCATAGCCTTGATTTGCGTACCGAATCCAGCACCTGCCCTAATGCCTTCAACTCTGTCTCTACTCGGTCCTTCTCGGCCATGAGCTCCTGCAGCGTCAGCTGCTCTTTTGGTATGCCATTGGAGTAGCCTGCCGACGTGGGCCCAGACGAGACAGTTGGCGCGTGTATATCATCCATGGTGTGCAGATGTTTGTCGCCGCCGCAGAGTTGAGAGTGCGTGAATGCTTACTACAGCTGGAGCTTGGATGTGGGGGTGAGAGCTTGAGGGAGCTTGAGCGTGCGGGGCAAAACCGCCAGGACGGTCGCCTTCCTTTTTCCTCCCTCACTTCTCTACCAAACTTCACTATTCCCAAGACACGCGCGTGACCTCTGTGTGTGCCAGATTAGAAGTATGCTCCAGCTGCTAAGTATGCTCAGTCTTGCAATGGCTCGGGTCGGCTACCGACATTCTTGTTCTGCCGTCATAGTGAGTCGCGACTACCAAGATTTGGTGAGAGCAACGCGGCCGCCATGTTAGCGGTCCTCGTCGATGGCTCACCACTCGCCCCTAACGAATAGCCTGTGTAGAATGCGCTTTACTGCGCGCCGTCTGGACCCTTTCCCTTAGATGCCGCCATTACGCTCTTGAGAACTTTGCGCCTCTGCGCTTTCCTCCCGTCCTAGCCAGTAGTCATATCCAAAATGCCTCAGCCAGCTTCCTTATCGCTCTGCAGCTCACTTGTCTCTCCTTAAGCCATCGTCTTTGGATGCAGTAGTATTTATCTCATGCGCTGAAAGCCTTCGTACCCGTCCTATCCAGTGTCGACCGTACGACCACGGACATGGCATATGTGTTGTCGCTGCGGCCTCAGAGCCCACTCAAGCGGTCCTTCAGCGACAATCCATACCTCAACTCCTGCTCCCCTCAGAAAGACACACTACTGGCACCACTGAGCGACATTACTGCTCGCAATGCTTCCGCGTGCTCGCTGTATTCTCTTGGGGCGACTAGGGCAGGCGACTGGTCTCGGAGCAACGAGAACACACCACCACTTACCTCTCAGTCGCTCCTTGATCTCGTGCCTGAGAAAGGAGGCTTCCCATTCAGTACAAGACATGTCATCGAAGAACCACGCAAGCGGAACTGTGGGCCTGACCGACCACCGCCATCTTTCTCGAGACTTACAGTCCCGCCGAGGCCGCATGCGAGAGGATATCACCATTCGCAGCGGATAGAGGAGCCCTGCTCTGACAGCGACAGCTCGGCTGATGACATGGACATTGACGACCACGACTTCGAAGAGACACATCTGTTCAATCTATACGAAGCCATACACGTGCCATTGCCAGAAGGTCGCTTCACCGATAATGACGGAGATGAGTCGCGCGAAGACTACGAAGAAGCGCCTGCGACTATCTCTGTATCTTCACAACCCTTTCGGCGGTGGATGAGCACTTTGAGGCGTCGACACGCGCACAGGTGGAGGGATAATGTCGCTGAGATACCACGGCTATCCTTCGACACCGCTGATGGCATGTCTGTCCTCTCTCGACCGCTGGGAAGGCTGTCTGAATCTGTGCGCAGGACATCGGAGTCTATGACATCGTCAATGGGCTATGTGACAGCAATGAAGTCGACTTCGATGACCATCGGCAGCGCGAGCATTGCACCACGCTCAGAAGCTGGAGGACCAGGGAAAGTTCGCTTGGGTAACAGAAGCAGCAATTATTCCGAAGCGCGCAGATCACTCGAGAGTCATCGTGGTGCGCTAGGGCCTGTACTTGATGAGAGCGCGTGGCTTCGATCACTACAGCGTCGCAAGGTTGTTGAGGAGCTGATCTCCTCGGAAGAGAGCTACATCGCAGACCTCAAGGTCTTGATCAACGTATGTTACCTACCACCGGGTTGACTCTACCATTCTAATCTAAGCAGGACTATTTCATGATCCTTACTGCCCTTCCTACTCTGTCAGGCCAGACACGATCATCCATACAACAGAATATCTCCCAGATTCTACAGCTTCACGAAGATTTGCTCGCCGAACTTCATCAGGCTGTACCTCAGGCAGATTTCACCAGAAGCGCGTACCAAGAGACGTATCCTGTGACCAAAGCCAAACATATTCGCTTTCATAGCGCCGACATTGTGCCGGGGCGCTTTGCCGAACACAAGACTGCCAGGAGGCTGAGACATTCTTTGGAGATTGGACGATCTCCAGACCGCAGACCGCGAG